CCACCTTGTTGGATTTTAGCCACTTGATCAGAGCTGCAGACTATAGCCTACAGCACTGATCAGTGTATTCTGATGGCAGGGAAGTCTCCCCACTGTCAGAACAGAATAGCTCAGCAGGAAGATTTCCCCCATCCACCTTGAATGTGGGGATGGAGCAATAAGGTACATTTTTTGTCGTTTAACCCGCTGGTTGAATTAAAAAAAAAAAACCTGACTCATCTATGGGCAGCTTTCCTGACATGTCTTCAGAACATGAAGTAAAGGAAAACCTCCAATGGGACAAACCACAAAAACAAAAAAAAAACAATTGAGACAGATATATTCTTTTCATTTCCTATACACTACCCTATACATTTTAATAACTGAAGTCTAAATAACCATAACTCAATTAACAAAACGAGTTCTAATGTGCAAGGATTGCAACACTGTCACGTCCTTGGAGGAAAATAAACCCAAGAAAAAAAGCAGCTGGGAACAATATTTCCTGAAAACAACTTCATAAAAAAAAAAAAGCTTTGCTTGCATACATTTCCTTGGTCTGGGTGGTCTTCCGCAAACGCAATCACTTCGGAGCACCACTGAGACATGAGGTCAAATGCTGGGGCTGCCCAGTCCAGACAAGAGGAACTAGCATATTCACGTGATGTCTTAAGGACTGAGGGCAGGATTCCTAAACAGCTGCAAAGCCCAATAAATTCCTCTTCTTCCTGTGAAATGAATAGACAGCAGAATTTAAATGGAATTTCACATCAACCTATAACTTATTTATTTAAACTAAATACCACAATTAGCCTTCCATAATACCTGACAGCTTGGAATATCCGTTCCAAATAAATGTTGCTGGAGGAGGCTGGTGATCCTGAGGAAGGGCAGGCAGAACTGTTGTAAGTAATGCTCAATGGACTGTGAAGACCAGACATTCAGGTTGGTCTGCAAACAACAAAACAAAAAACACACTAATTCCATTGCAAGTACAGTGACTAAGCCACTAGGTTCCATTACCAGTTTGCATGGGTGCTATCATTATGGTGCTGGCTGACAAAAATGGAGTGTTGAATGAGAGCTACAGTCAAGATACATTTGACGATAAATACACAAGTGTAAATTATATGGACTTTATTTTTTACTTTGAAGAACCAAAGCTAGACTATTCTGTAGATAACTTATTGCCAATTACAGCATACTTGCTCCAGGTCAGTGAATCAAAGCATGACAGCCAGGCAACTAGTATTTTCAGTAGAGTTGATGACAACCGCCACATTTCTCTCATGACAGATTTACTTAACATATTAAAGTTGACTTAAGAGGCCCTTTTGCACATACCTTTATGAGTGTCCAGGAGTTAAACTCAGGGAACTCTATATAAAACTTGGATGCCATATCTGTAATATCAGAGCTGGAAATCAATACCCTCAGCAATGTGTAATTTGTTGTATATTATTAGGGCTCTGTGCATTATTTTAACCTCTTTGGGTGCACTCACACTGGAAACAGCTGAACTGAACAGCACCCAAGTTTGATTGTCCTGCCTCCCCTGCTGGTCTGCACTCACACTGGTCTACAAGTGAATGTTCCTAGGGACACTTTGTTCATCAACCCTGTCAAATCAGACCACAACCATCACTGATTATGTGCTCAGTTTTCTATGGAGAGTTCCATGCTCTGGAACAGTCTGCATCCAAAGTGAAACACTCCCCGGTGCACCTATTTCAAGTGGTCCGAGGCACAGCACACTTAACCATTCCCAGGCATGGTTTAGAGCACTTGTATTATACAAACTGACCCAAGGGAGTGAATTATGCTTAGGCTCGGTTAAAAGTGCCTATGTGACTTCACCCTAAAATAACTTTTATGGTTTATAAACAAGCCTGTTTTATGTAAAAAAAGGGTAAAGACCAAAAAAAATTGATTTTTAGTTTACATTTTAAAATCCTTTCCTTGAAGTACATCACAGGACAGGGTATACTCATCTCCATTGGAACACAGTTATGCTGCCACCTTTAGCGGATTGGACGTTGGCAAAAACAAAAAACAAAAAGACAGGAAATTCCCTCTTAGGCATTAACCCTCCCAACAGACAAGCCTTCAGTTTTTGTAGCAAGTCATAAACCACAAGCCAGAGGGGTGGGATCCCAGGGTCCTGTAATGTACTATGAGAAAAGAATTTTAATATGTAAAGCTAAAAATCCCATTTTCTTTCTTGTATCTCCCAGGACACGGTATCTTCATCTACATAGCACTGAATATGAGGGGAGGGCAATACATCATTAGACCCCAAACAACTATAGCAAAATAGGTTAGAACCCCATGCAGCAGCCAGCAAAACACACCAACCAAAGGCAGTAGCCTCAGCAGCTCTAATATCCACTTTATAAAACATCATAAAGGTATAACCCAGGAGACGCCAACACTCTCAGTAGAATGAGACCTTACAAAAATGGTGGTACATTTCCTCTTATACCATAAGTTTGGAGAAATATACTTACAGATCCATATAAAAATGGTAGATTTGGAAGCGGATTAACCCTTCCTTCGGCCTTCACAACACAAAGAGGGAATCTGACAGTACCCCTTCCCTCACAAGGAAAAGTGGTGTGGCCTCTCAATACTACTTGCTATGACTTGCAGTCCCACAACAAAAGCTCTCTTACAACTGAACTCACGAGTACATGCCATAGAACACCCTACGGCACGGGTGTCAAACTAGCGGCCCTCCAGCTGTTGCCAAACTACAAGCTCCATGAGGCATTTTAAGATTGCCTTTGGGAGTCATGCTTGCAACTGTCAGAGGCATGATGGGACTTGTAGTTTTGCAACAGCTAGAGGGCCACTAGTTTGACACCCCTGCGCTACGGGGTTCAATCTTCACCCATCACAGTAGGCAATGTCACAAGGGTCTTCAGGAACTCAAGTTCCCATCTGGGAAACACTGCCCTGGTCTTTTACAGCACTCTACTAGTCTGCAAAGCAACATATCATTGTGCAGGGTCTCATTGTGCAGGGTCCCGTTCTGCTGGGTCCAGTGCTGACCAGCAACATTACAGGCTGCTCCCATGTGTCCAGAGTGGATTTCGGGTACTATTCCTATGAGCACAGAAAGGTTGTAGGAAAATGGATTTGGAAATAGCTAGTCTCCTAATCCCAGATGGAATGATTGAGATGCTAGCTATATTTTTTGCAGAGACTGCACAGACATGACCATCATCTAAGACACTAGGAAGAAAAAAAACAAACAACAAAAAAAAAAAAAAACTGATTCTTTGCCCAATGTGAAAGCGTTATGCCTAGGAGAGATTTTTTTTGGTCAGTGTCCAGCTATGTGAAGGTGGAAGCATAACCCTATCATAATGGATATGAAGATACCCCATGTCCTTGGATGCACTATTAAGAAAACACGTTCAATTCTTACTTTCCCCCTCCTGTTGCAGTATCATGTCTGCTACAAAAAGGAGGATGACCTCTTTTAAGCCCTTATATACACTAAATTATAAAGCAAAAATATAAATTTTTAAATTTATACACAGGTAGTGTCTCAGCTGTAAAACAGAACATTTCATGTACATACCGTTGTAACATCCTCTGGCTCTTCATCATGGTATATCTTTCCTCCAGATAATTCGCTAATCACGAAAGTAAGCAAAGCTTCCCATGACTTCCCTGAAGTATAGGAACTCTGTAAACCAAACACCAAACAACAGATCAATGGTTATTTTTACTAAATCTCAAACTGAATTTACATTTCCAGCAAATTGGGAGCCATGTTTTTTCATTTTTAAAACATACAATTTTCTAAACTAAATTACCACCATTATACTGCAGGGACAAAGAGCTACCTCCTGGGGGGTGGACCTAGCTGTATGTGTGACAACAATAGCTTGTGGAAAGTCTACATTTGCTCAGAACCTTTGGCAAAAGCTGAAATGTCAGATGGGGAGCTAAAATGAAGGTAAAATGTGGCACCAGAGGGCAATTCCTACACAGCTATGGCCTTTGTTTGCTTTTATAGGGCAGGTGTGTTTTAAGAGCATGAATATATTATTATATAATATGTAACTCAGTGTGATCTCATCACTGGTCACAGTACTGCTCCTGACAATGCTTTTACCTCGCTTTTTTCCTCAAGGAGGTCAGTGCCATCTTTGTGTAAAACAGAACTAAAACGGCAAGACTTTTTTTCATTTTGGATAGTTTAAGGGAGTGTTATAACCCCTGTCAATTTTATTTTTGTCATCTGAGTCGCACTGGGGAGATTTCCATCACTTTGTGTTCCTTAGCATAAACAGGAATGGAGAGGAAATCCCTTCAAATAAAGAATTGTTGGTTGTTACCAAAACTAGTGCACCCATTGAAAGATTTCTCCCCAATTCCTGTTCTGTTGACAACCCAAAATTTGGGATTTAGTTGGGCTTTAGGTACATATTTTGAGTCACACAATTTAGCCCCCATAGCTGCCTCCTCTTAGTCTGTGACCAGCCAGAGTAAAAATCCACAATACACATTCAGATCATTTCCTCTACTGCCTCTTACTTACCTTATGAGCTGCTGAACCAACAGAGAGTGCTGTACTATTAGCCTATTCCTCTCAGGTGATGCCTAGGCAAAATCATTGCAGCTCAAAGCCTGTTTTTTAGCTTTAAAAAGGTACATTTAAAAATGCTGTAGCTGTAGATTGTGAATAGGCAGAAACATATTCATGCAAATTTAACCACTAGCCTACAGGGCACTTATACCCCCTTCCTGCCCAGGCCAATTTCCAGCTTTCAGCGCTGTTGTACTTTGAATGACAATTGCGCAGTCCTGCAACACTGTACCCATATGAAATTTTTATCATTTTTTTGTGACAGACAGAGCTTTATTTTGGTGGTATTTAATCACCTCTGGGTGTTCTTAAACCAAAAATCACAGAAAATTTTGAATAAAAAAGTTATTTACAAAATTTTATAACAAAAACTAAGAAATAAGCGATTTTTCTCCTCTTCACTGATGTGTTTTAAGAGGCTGCACTGAAGAGCACTGATAGGCTGCACTGATGCACACTGATAGGCGCACTGACTGGCATTGATAGGTGGCACTGACTGGCACTGATGGGTGGCACTAAAAGGCAGCTCAGATGGGCACTGATATGTGGCACTGGCAGGTGGCATGGATGAGCATAGAGCTGGCACTTTTGGACACTGACAGGTGGCGCTGCTGGGGCTACACAGATCATCAGGGCACACTGATCATCAGTGCTCTGATGATCTGTGTAGATGTCGCCACCGAGGAATACCGATTACCGGCTCTCCTCTCCTCACGAGCTGTCAGCGTGACAGCTCGTGAGGAGAGAACTGCCGATAACCGGCATTTCCCTGTTTACATGTAATCAGCTGTGATTGGACACAGCTGATCACATGACCGAGCCGACATCTTCGGCTCTTTCCGTAGATCGGTGATTCGCTGTGTCCGAGGGACACAGCGCACCGCAGATCGCCGCGCGCGCGCTCCCGGAGCCGTGCATGCGCGGTGGGAATGGGAGGACATCATAGGTCCTCCAAGAACAAGAGAACCGCCTTATTACTATATGGTGGGCGGGAGGCGGTTAAAGTGGTATTAAACCATCCCACACGGAACAGCTCCAAAGTGACGCAAATCATACACCTGGAAGTGATAAGAAGGGAGCCACTCATACAGACTGTATGTGGAGCAGGTATCCTATGCAAATATAAAGCGTTTTAATCCATTGTGCAAAACACAGCACTGTACCATGTGTGTGGGCATTGTCCTAATGGATTTTAGCATTTTAAATAAATATTAAAAGGTTTTACACTATAGCGGCTCTCCTTGTTTCCCTATGGTACTCCCAATTAAATATATATATATATATATATATATATATATATATATATATACACATATACACACACACATACACTGACATACTGATGTGAGGGAAGGAAAGGTGCCTGTCCCAAGTGGTCATGGATGGTGAAAACCCCCCCGTGTAAACACAAGTGCTAAATAGCGTAACTCCTTCGGGTGGTCATGGATAGTTGGTGAGTTCCCTGGTGTGCTGGTGGAGGATCACATATACACCGATGAAATAGTAAGCATTTGCACAGCACTACTGCACTTTTCTGGAAGATTTATTGCACAGACTTTTTATACTAGCACTGACACTTCAACAGATATAGGATTTTTATGTCTTGTTTTGTGGTTTCTTATATTACGCATCAACACAAATAGTGCTGTATAATAGGTTATACTTTATACTTTAATACTCACTGGGTATTGGTATACAGCTGCTTTTATTTGCGAGTTAAATCTAAGCGCTGGAGAATTGTGGCATTAGTAAAAATAGATTCCTGCCTGATTAACAGCCAAAGAAAGATGGCTCATTTCCATTAGGAGAGAAAAGCAGAAAAAGATACTGTTAGAGGGAGACCTGGATCTTTACCCGCCTCCCGCCTGCCATATAGTGTAATGACAGGCGCAAGGCGGTTCTCTCGTTCTGGGAGGACATCATATGACGTCGTCCCATTCTAAGCGCGCAGCGCCGTTATAGGTGGTGCGCTGTGTCCCTTGGACACAGCGGATCACCGATCAATGGAAAGAGCCGAAGATGTCGGCTCGGTCATGTGATCAGCTGTGTCCAATCACAGCTGATCGCATATAAATAGGGAAATGTCGCTTATCGGCATTTCTTTCCTCACAAGCTGTCACGCTGACAGCTCGAGAGGAGAGTAGAGCTGGTAATCGGCATTCCTCAGAGGGGACATGGGCACTGATGATCAGTGTGCCCTGATGATCTGTGTAGCCCCAGCAGTGCCACCTGTCAGTATCCATCAGTGCCAGCTGTCAGTGCTCATCCATGCCACCTGCCAGTGCCCATCAGTGCCACATATCAGTGCCTACCAGTGCACATCAATGTCACATATCAGTGCTCATCTGAGCTGCCTATCAGTGTCACCCATCAGTGCCAGTCAGTGCTACCTATCAGTGCTGCCAATCAGTGCCACCTATCAGTGCCCATCAGTGCTGCCTATCAGTGCCACCGAACAGTGCCAGTCAGTGCCACTTATCAGTGCCATATATGAGTGCTGCCTTTCAGTGCCCATCAGTGAGGTCTGTCAATGCCCATCAGTGCAGCCTATCAGTGCCCATCAGTGTAGCCTCATTAGCGCACATCAGTGAAGGAGAAAAATCCCTTATTTACAAAATTTTATAACAAAAACTAAGTAAAAACCTTTTTTTTTCCCCAAAATTTTCAGTGGTTTTTGGTTTAAGAAAAAATAAAACCAGAGGTGAATAAATACCACCAAAATAAAGCTCTGTCTCAAAAAAATGATAAAAATTTCATATGGGTACAGTGTTGCATGACCGCGCAATTGTCATTCAAAGTGTGACAGCGCTGAAAGCTGGAAATTGGCCTGGACAGGAAGGGGGTATAAGTGCCCTGTAGGCTAGGGGTTAAAAGGTAATAAATACCTACAGTATAAGTGTTATATTTACACACCCCATTGAAAATCTTAGGAGCAAAGCTAAATTTTAGACAACAAAATCATAATTAACAAGAATTCAACTGCAGGTGAGTCTAGTTATTCATTAAACAGGTTTCCAGCAGACAGTTGATTATAAAAAGGGAATTAACTAAGAAAACCTTCCCATTTCAAGCTGCCAGCAACGGCACCACGTGGAAGAGAAATGTCACAAAGGCTTGAGAAAGAAAATTTCTTTACATAAGAAAGGTGAAGGCTACAAGAAGATCAACACAGCTTTACTTATCAGTCAGAACACTAGCAAAATTGATACAAAATTTTAACAAACATGGAACTTCAACCATCTCACAGAGACGTTCAGGCCATACACAGAAGTTAATACCTCGATAGGAGCATCTTCTGATGAGAAGGGTTGAAGAAAATCACCATGCGAGTTCACTGCAGTTAGCTAAAGAAGTAGAAAGCCAGACTGGGGTGATTGTTTCCCGTGGCACAATACAGTATACACTGCAGAGAAATGGCATGCATGGGTTTCGTCCATGAAGGAATCCTCTCCTAAAGCCCATGCACAAAAAAGCCCACCTAGGATTTGCCAGGGCCCATGCTGAAAAAAGAAGACTACTGGGACTCTGTACTCTGGAGTGAAGAGACCAAGATAAATGTTTTTGGAACTGATGGCTTCAAAACTGTATTGCCTTGCAAAGGTGAGGAGTACAAAGAACAATGCATGGTGCCTACAGTGAAACATGGTGGTGGCAGTGTCCTTCTGTGGGGCTGCATGAGTGCTGTTGGTGTTGAGGAATCGCATTTCGTTGATGGTATCATTAATTCACAGATGTACTGCTCTATATTGAAAGAGAAGATGCCACCATCATTCCATGCCCTTGGTCATCATGCACTTTTCCAACATGAAAATGATCCAAGACATACATCTAAGGCCACATGTTGCATTTCTGAAGAACAGGGTGAAAGTGATTCAGTGGCCAAGTATGTCTATTGATCTGAACCCAATCGAACACTAATAGGGAATTCTGAAGAGACAAGTTTAGCATTACTCTCCATCCAGCATCCAGGCTCTAAAAGAGGTCCTTCTTGAAGAAAGGAAAAAGATAGATGTTGCAATATGTCACCAAATTGTTCATTCCGTGCCTAGAAGACTTGGTACTGTGCTTACAAATCATGGATGTCATACAAAATACTAGATGTAGTAGTTTTTGTTGTGGGGTGTATTCATTTTTGCATCAATTTGAGTAAAACTGAAGATTTTGTAACCCAAGTTATTAATAACATTACTTTCATGTAATGAGCTAAACAAATATTCTATAAAAAAACCCAAGTTTTGTGAAAAGCTTGGAAACCGTTCTTGTGTTCACTGTGATATTGATTAAAATCTTACTTTTCAAAAGGGGTGTACTCATTTATGCTGAGCACTGTATTTTCATAGGCCATTTGCTTTTTTGAAATATAAATCCTGCAATGTAATAAATTCTGCCACCACTGCATGTTTACAGCTGACACATTTTATAAGGGCTGATGTATGAAGAAAAGAAAAAAAAAAACACCCTTATTTATAATAGCTTCTTCCCTAGCAGCCCATCTCACAAAGGCTCTCACAAAAAATAGAAAGCATTGATTTCTCTGCTGTAGCACTTATTTAAGAAACTTTCAGTATATAGCACTGGCACATTCAAGTTTAATCTGCCAACACCAGCAGGAATGTGGGGACATCATGTTCTTGCCTAACATTTTCTGTTTTTATTTTTAAAAGTACATTTTCAGAAATACCAACTTTTTTGTATGCTCCATATTCCTTCCATGTTGCACGTTCCTCAGGACGAAGTCTAATGGTTAACGCAATCAGTGCTTGAGTGTACAGTAGTGAATAGAACACCTTCACGATGCAGGTAAAATGTTCTGCAAATGAAACAAATAATGAATTGTGAAAACAATAAAATGACTTCTAGTTTCAAAGGTAATAGGTTCCAGCCATAACAAGCTGCTGGGTGATCAAGGGCTTTTATACAAGTATGGCAAACTGCTGTCAAATTGATATATCGTAGCCCCCCTGAGCAATTAAAATGGAACTAAATGTGAAAAATTGTGAACAGGTGTTTTTTTTTTTTTATTGCAGAAGAGGCATGCAATGTCTCTTCAGCAATAAAGTACACTTACCAGCCTATTCACAATCCTCTGCAGAATGTATACTGAGCTGCACATGCACAGCTCTGCTTACCTTCTGGCACACTAAACCCCTGCACATGTGTGGGAGTAACCTCATCCCACACCAGCCAATCAAAATGGCTAAAGACCAGCACTCGGAAGAACCCAGGAAAAGATGCAGGCAAGAGACTTTGCAAGCGGTGGACTGTTGGAGCATAGGTGAGTATTTGTGCCTTTAGTTCCACTTTAAAGTAACCATAGAGTTATATTTTGGTTTGAATGACCATCAGTGTGTCCTGGCTCCTAATCTATGATAGCAATAGTAAAATTGCAGTGGTTTAAAAATTTTGCCTCCATTCATAGTGAACAATGCTACTCCTGCAGCTAGGTTCCCTATTTATTTATTGCACATTTGGAGAGACTACTGGGAGAGTCTGAAATGTCAGTTTTCTTCTAAATGAAATGATTTGTTGGAAGAACTGGAAAATGCTATTTATTCTTTGGACAGCAGAACAGTTCAAAACCACACCTGAATTGACTGCAACTTTGACTCACTGGGGGGATTAATAAAAACTAGCACACGCTGAAAAACATGCTCATTTCTATGCCTTGTTATTTTGGGCTTTCTGCAGCAAATAAAAGAAACACATGCAAATTTGTTTAGTTGTCGCGTGGTGGTGGTTCAACAGATCTGAGAGTGATTACACTAGTATGTGCCAAAATGTTAGAGCAAATCTGAGATTAAATTCTGCTCAAATCATCCTAAAATTTATTTCACTGTATTGCTGTATCTTGCTGGCCATCCACACACATCTCCCTCTCTTCTACTTGCTGCATTGCTGATTGTTGCTGTCCAATGCTCCTCACTACTATATTTATGCAATTCTGGTAGGTGTATATTTTAGAACAGCTTTTAAATTAGAACATTGGCGCAAGTGCTTTATTAATTTGGAGAAGATGATAGCATTTTTAATGTGTACCAATAAATAAATAATTTGCGCTAGTAAATATATAAATATATATGAAGAAATCATCAAATCATAAGTCCAGAAAAAAATATATATATATGCCAATACCACAAAAAAATATAAAAAAAACTTTTAGGTGCAAAAAACTTTTGTGCAAAAAAAGTGTCTGAATATGAAAAATTTCACCAAAAAACCTTGATAATATAATGGCAGATCATCCATAAATATATCTTCAGAAACGGAAACTCTGCAGCACACCGATCCTCATCGATCGAAATAACAGGATGAAAAACTTTGTAGTTAATCGAAAATCCACTTCTCCAATAGGTAAAGGACCACCTTCAAACGTATCCATAGGGGGAAATGCCAAGCACTCGGGAGAGAAACAGAAAGACTTCATGGTGCAATATTATAAAAACCAATTCCTTTATTAGGTACTCATTGCACTTACTCAAGAGGTGTCCCAGCCCACACCAGCATCAACAGCATAACAGCAGTCACATAAACGAGCCTGGCTACTCAGCACATGCGCAGTAGCTGGCAGCCAAAAACGTAATGACGTCACATCAATCAAGCCCCGCCCTACGCGTTTCGTCATCGAAGTCCTCACGGAGCGGATAGATGTGAGACGTCTCAACCTCCTTAAATATTCACTCACAGGAATCGAACAGCTGACATCAATGGGGAATCAAGCAAAGCAAGCCGCCCCATCGATGACAGGAGTCCACAAAGGATATACAATGTATCCAATATATTTGCCATCACAAGCAAAAAAACTTTAAAACAAGAGAACAAAAATAAAATAAAAAATTAAATAAACAATAATAATAAATAAATTAAATGAATACAATAACGGGCCAGTACCCTCTAAGACTGTGTTTCAAAAAGGGAACTTAAAGGGCCAGTAACACTTTAAACACAAATAAAGGGGAACTCTAGTAATAATACAAAAATAATACAGAAATTGTACAAAAAGCATACAATCTCCCATATATCATCTTTAAACAGTTGCCTATATAAAAATATACTTAAAATAGCATAAAAATTAAAAATTAAAAATTTGTGAGAAAACAATTCAAATCTATATCGACATTTAACCCAAATGGTTGCAAGGAATTTAGTTCATAAATCCAAAACGTCTCTTTTTTGGAAATCTCATTAACCAAATCCGAGCCCCTCCAATGGGGTTTTACCATCTCGATCCCATAAAAGGTAAGTAAGCTCGGATCACAATTATGTACCAATTTGAAATGTTTGGATACACTATGTTTATCGAATCCTTTTACTATGTTTCTTATATGTTCGCCTATTCTTGTTTTTAAACATCTCCCAGTTCTCCCAATATATCTCAAATGACATGGACATTCTAAAACATAAATCACATGTGTAGAATTACATGTAATCAGGAATT